ATCTGTTGCGCGTCATGGGATTGTATGGTGCTATATACATAAATAAATAATAATAATAATAATTTTGTTTCGTATCTTCACAGAGATCCTGAATGGTGGAGTAATCATGGAGAATAACACACAGCTGTGCTTTCATACAACCATCCTATGGAATGATATCCTGAGCCATAGCAATTCCTTGAAAAGTGTCATGGTTCTACATCCTGACATCCGAAAATGTGAGAAAGCTGGGTCTAGAATAGGGTTGAGCTTAATGAGAGAGCATGTACTGAACATATGCAGGCTTATTAGGGCTAAAAGCAAAGTAAAATGTGTTACCCATGACAGCCAACCAGAATTCATGTTTAAAGAGACTGTCAGTGGGAAGGAGGCATTACGTTTAGGCACCTAGAGGCAGGTTCATTCACAGCAGTTTGCCCCCTCCCTCCTCCCAGTTATAGAGTTTATTTAACAAATATGTCTGCAGTAAACTGAAATCTTGTTGGGTACAGTGGATGAGATAAATTGATCTGGTTTTGTAGGCGATATCTTTTTATTTTTTTACACTCGTGTCGGAGGATTAGAACCTCAAAAAGCCAGTGAACAAAAACTGTACCTTTTTTTAATTTTTTTAATTTAATGTTAAAATTATATTAGCGGGTAAAAAAAACAACAACTTGTTGCCGCGCTGTCCTTAAATGGTGTACTAATAATATGTGATCAGTGAAAATTCTAATGTGACAATGTGTCCACTTTAAAATTAAACAAAACATGTATGTGTCAATAAACACCAAAGTTTATGTTTTTCAAACTATGTACTCTATGAAATGCACTTAAACAATTGATTCAAATAAACAGTGAGAAATCAATAAACAATAGGTTTTCCAATCACAATGTGAATTAAAAAACAATGTCCATAAAAGTTCATATGAGTGAAACCATCCAAATGATTTGAAAATTCATACACATGTGATTTAGTCTTTGCTCCTCCACCGTCTTATTACCACCACGTGGACACTCAGGGGGTTATTCACTAAAGAGCCGAAGGATTAAGCCCAACCTTTGGCGAATCCTTTGGCTGCAGGAGTTCGTTCATTTTGCCGCGGGAGTTCATAGAATGCGGTCGGGTTGGCGTGCGTCGGGATTTTTTTTATTTCAACGAGTGGTGGCGTGGACATCGCTGGATGACGTGATTAAGCTTTGCACTTTGCGTTTTTTTTCTTTTTTTTTTTAATTAAAGTAATTGTCAAAGACTTTTGGTGTGTGTGTGTTTTTTTTTTCCCCTCAATTAAAGGATTTTTTCTAAAAGTCTCTTTATTTACATTTTTGTACCATTACTCATTTACAAGGGGGGGCAGCATCTGGGTGCCCCCTTTCCTGCCCTGCCTGGCCTGTGCCCGGATTAGGTGCCGGTTGGGAATTTTAGGGGGGACCCCACTTTTGTTTAACCATTTTTTGGCAGTGGGGTTCCACCTTAAAATTGCTAAATTTCTACCAGACCTAAAGGGCCTTGTATGACTTTTGGGGAAACCCCCACGCATTTTTTTTTCTTTTAACTTTGGGGGGGAGGGGGTCCCCGATTGTTTAGGAGGGGAACCTTGCGTGTCTTTTTAATTTGTTTTGCTTTTGTTTACATTTTCTTTTATTCTGCTCGCTACCTCCGGGCTAGCGAGCATAATAACTGAGCCGAATGCTGCTCGGCATCTCTATGAGAATAAGGGTGAACAGTAGTGAATGAACTGACGAACGCTCGACTCAGCCGATCCAGATGTTGGATAAACTTAGACAAAAGTGTTCTTCGGCTGAGCCGAACTGTTTGGCTGAACCATGGTGAAGTGAAGGGAGCCGAAGGCAGCCAATGTACAGCTGTTTTCAGCTGTACAGGACTCAAGTGAATAGCCGAATGCCATTCAGTTCCCTTCACCTCGAGTTGGTTATTTACTCGGCTGGCTTTGGCAGCTTAGTAAATAACCCCCTCAGTGAAATGCTCACCTTGGATGTTAGACCATCACACAAGGTCTAATCATGCTGTTCCCCATTATGTTATATTAGCCAGATGGTGATCTACCCTCATAAGAATCCACTTATGGAAATTCCCGTATCTCTCTTTGTACGTACCCCAAGGATCCCCAAATAAAAAAAAGCATACAGACCATAGTTCTTTCTGTACTAATTAAAATAAAGCTTTTATTAAAAGCTACTTACATAAAAACACAGGACAGCCAATGTATTCACAAAGTAATATGGTAATGCAGACAGGAACACTGCTGGATCAGCCACAAGGAATACGCCGAGCTCCAGTCTCACCTCTTCCACACTATGTCACAAGTTTGTGATCCCCCATACCATTGGGATCCTTAGAGGACAAAGACGGATATGAGAGGGATATGAGAACTTCCATGAGTGCACTTTTATGAGGGTAGATCCCCACATGGCTAATATAGCATAAGGGGGAACAGCGCAATTAGACCTTGTGTGATGTCTAGCATCCAAGGTGAGCAGAATTTCATGTGTCCACGACGGTGGAGGAGCAAAGACTGAATCATGCATCTGAATTTTCCAATCATCATTTGGATGGTTTCACTCAGATGAACTCCCACAGACTTTGTTTTTTATTTCACGTTGTAATTGGGAATCTAATTGTTTATTGATTAACAATTGACTGTTTATTTGTAGTCAATTGTTTAAAGGTAATTCATAGTTACATAGTACATAGTTTGTTGAACATAAACTGTGGTGTTTATTGACACATACTGTACATGCTTTGTTTAATTTTGAAGTGGACACATTTTCATATTTGAATTTTCACTGATCACATATCATTAGCACACCATTTAAGGACAGCACGGCACTTATATTAGTGGGTAAAATAGATAGCAGCTGCTTAGCTGTACTTGAGTTGCTTGTGCTAAACAGTCAAAACTTTTTTCTTTATCGTTCAGTAAGGGAAAGGGGATCAGATGTAAATCAGAGATAATTGGGTTATACTGCTGCCTTTAGGGGAAATTGAACACCGGCAGGTATAACCTCTCCCACTTGCATCATTGTGTGTTTACTAGTGTCCTCGGAGGATGGATGTCTTTTCATGTACACTGTATGTGATCAGCTATTTGGAGCTGTCAAAAGCCGGTAACCACTGTGAATCAGCGGTTACAGTTCATTAATAGATGCCTCAGTATTGAGGCATCCATTAATGAAAGAATTAAGCTTTTACAGATGCCTGATCAGTGTCAGCGATCAAGTATCTGGCAGTGATAACAGAGTGGTGTGAACCACTTTGCTATCACAAGTTTGACAGCTCTGTACAGATCACGATCTGTTTTAACAGCTCTGTACAGATCGTGATCTGTTTTGACAGCTCTGTACAGAGCCTGTGTACTGGCTTTATTTTGCTACAAGTTTCTATGAAGCATGGACACTCGTAGCAAAATTTTGAAACATTGTATCAGACTTCTAATCGTTCTAGGAACGATCAGAAGTCTTTAGTGACATCTGACCCTTAAATGCTGCAGAATCAGCATGTCAGAAATCAGTGTCACTAAGGTTATTATTGGCTGTTCCTAGGTTTGGAGCAGCCTAATAACAATCAAAAATGTAAAAAAAATAATTAAATGATCAAGCAGTAATAGTGACTGTTTATAAGTAATTTTTCCGTGCCATCCGGATAAAACTACACCTAAAACTAAAAAAGTATAGAATGAATGAATATATCCTGCTGCCGTGCTAAACCACAGTGTGTTAATAATCTCAAAATGAATGCACCGCGCTGGAAATGTGTAACAGTTCAAAACAGTTGATAGCCATTTATAACAAATAATAATATAGCAACGTGTATCATATAATATAAAACGATTCTCCACAGTTCAGACTTCAATATAGAAGAAAGATGCACATAAAAAATAGTTCTTGCATGTATCCCGTGCCTAGAGTCATCAGAGGTCGTTCTCACAAATTTCTTGTTTATGGTTGGATCGAGGAGCATTCATATGCTTACCCATGTGCACGGCTGTGTAATGTTTGGGAACAGATTTGGAACCTGATGTATCAATGTAGTCTTACTTATGCTGGGCACACACCTTACAACCATCGCAAGACTTTTGTCTTGCGATGGTTGTAAGGTACTTAAAAAAACGTACGATCTGCCTATCTTGGACAGGCAGATCATACTTGCGATGATCGCAAGCCAGGCCCCCCTGGGGGGCGGGTTTCCGATGACCGCAATGCCGAACGGGCAGTGTGCGCTTGCGCACACCGGCCCGTTCGGCTTTTATCGCACGAACATGCTACACACCCGCCGAACATCGTGCGATGCTCGGCGGGTTTTCGAACATGTTCGTAAGTTAAAAGTCGTGCGACCTTACAGTAGTAGAGGTCGCACGGCTTCCACACACCTTACGATAATCGTACGATCGCGGTATTTCCCGCGATTATCATACGATTATCGTAAGGTGTGTGGGCAACCTTTGAACTGGAATTATTTCCCCACAACTACCATCACATTCACACTTTCAGGGCTGGTTTGAATCTTGTTGGTTTCTGAGTGGAAACAACTCCAGTTTTTACTAAAAAAAATGCAGAGATATTGGTGGCATTGTGGCCACTGAATAACATATCATGAGCTGAGCTAAGCTGAACCAGAGAAAAGCTAGCTACTATGTTACCAAAAGAGCTCCTCCTTTTTCACTGTTTACTTTGTTAATGATGCAGTCTGCTAGCATGATGTGATATTAAGGTTTCGACACAGAAAATTTTATTTTTGTGTCATACATATTACTGTATGTCATTTGCTCTTAAGTGGAAGCAGCAAAGGTAAAAGTTATAATTGGTTGCATTTAGCTATTTCAACAACTCTTCATTGTAAAACGATATACTGTTTTTCTGTTGGAGTTCTGTGTTTCAGTTCAGCCTGATAACAAGACATAGTTATATGATTTTCCTTCTCCTTCTGGTTCAGCTAATCTACCAATTTATATTAAGGGAGGATGGTTGATGAAGATTTGTATCACTGTTTGTTTTTATAGGTCCACCATGCTCAAGCAGATGTGAATTGCTACCTTCAAGAACAAATGGATCATGCTGGGGAGAGGGAGAAGAGTATTGTCAGACCTGTGAGTAAATGTGACACCGTATTATTGTCATTACTACCAGGTAAATGAAACCTGTCATAAGATGAAATATGTAGGCTACCATTCTTGACCGCCTTATAAAATAACTGTCATGCCGATCTGGTGGGTTCATACCTTTATTATCAATGATTGAACAAGTAATGTGAATGAAATGTTCTGACTTCACTTACTGCAAGTTGTTCTTGGTCAATTACTCAGAAAGCAATAAAGCCAGAGACAGCCAAACAACTTGCATTCTTAAAAAGGATGAATGGCAATCCAAATATTTTCATCATGACAAGTATCTTTTAACCTCTGTTCTTCCGCCTTATGTATTGAAACAATAAAGTAGTGGGCGCCTATTTCTGCTGTGCCATTTTTAAATGTCAATCCAAGATTGTAGTGATTGACCATAGAGAGACCAATCACAGCACTCAAAGATGTAAACAGTGTAGTGTTTACATCTTTGAGTCCTCCCTTTCCTCTTACAACTGAGGAAGGGGAGGAAAGAGGAACTAGTGAATGAATGAGTCATTCATTTGCTCCTGAACACAATAGAGATCATTGGCAGCAACAGATTCGAGAAAAGGTAAACCCTTTCACAACCACACCCCCTCCTATACATCTTCTCTCCAGCTTGTCTCTTCAGTGACCTGTATACTATCTCTTCAACTCCCTTATCCTGCACATTAACCCCCTCACCTCGATCCTCCCATTGTATGTGATCTGTACATTAACCCCTTCACCATGACCTCCCTCTGTGTCTGACCTGTATGCTGTATCTAGTGTACCATTACGAAGCTCTATGTTTAACCCCCTCAATACCAGAATATTTTTTTTTTTTTAATAAATTCTTTATTACCAGCATATTTCTTAATTTCCAAAATATTGTAGGAAAAAAATTAGATCACCTTGGGGTGTCTACTTACCAAAAGAGGTGTTCCCACTGTCCTGGCATTTTTATTTTAACAGAAAGGAAGGGATACTGGTAATTTTTTCAAAATTATATATAAATATAAAAAAAAGCAGTTGTTATATGATACTACCAAAAGAAAACTGTATTTGTCTCAAAATATGATATCAAATTTGGGTACACTGTTGCTCTGAGTAATTGTCAAACTATCACAGAACTAAAAACTGAAAAATAGCCTGGTAATGAAGGGGTAATACAGCCTGGTACTCAAGTGGTTAAAAATGGTCCCAAATATGCAGAAAAAAATGGTCCATAAAGGAGAACTATGAGGCAAGTGATTTCCACTCAACTTCATAGTTAGAGCCGACCTGTGACAAAGAAACTGTCACAGGTCGGCTCCATTGATCAAGAAGTAAGCAGAAACATCCACCAATCTGCTCACTTCCCGATTCCCACCTCCCCGCTCGGTTCTTCCAGCGCTGAGTGGAGGAACGAATGGGGGAAAGGGCGGGCACAGCTGGCTCTGCCGCTAGATAGGCAGAGCCAGCTGTCACTCACGCAGCTGGGTGGATCTCAACAGTATTGCCGGATCTGTCCCGGCTGCGGCTCTCTCAGTATATCCCGGGCAATAGTCCGCGATGTACTGAGCTTTGGGTCATGGGAGGAGAACTATGGGGAACAACACTTACCCCATAGTTCTCTTTGAATATGTTGACAACTCCAGTTCTACAATAATATAATAAATGGTATTTCTGAAAATTGTTACACAGAATTTTAAACTGATGACTGGTGACTATGACAGAAACAAACTTTTCCCCCAATTTTTCCCCAATCTACTTAAAACTAAAAAAAATGTTTTGGGCTTGAGGCAGTAATGTAAATCATCTTAGGCCCCATTCACCCCTGCACGTGGCAGTTGCTGGGTTCCCATCGATTTCACTGGGTTCATATATGCGTGACAAACACGGCAAGAAAGTAGTATTTTATGTGACGTGCGCTCTGCGTTTTTAATGGCACCGCAATCAGGTTGTGTGTTTTGTTGTGTTTTCGCAAACATGCACAAAAAGCTTGCTTTGGCACGTGTTCACGGAACGCACGGATGTGAACCGAACCTTACCAATAAGTATTTATGTTTTAAAAACCTTGTTTTTGTGTATAGTTTGTACAAATACATGGGTGCAGCCATCAAAAACAAGGGTGCGCTTATCTGGAAGCTGACCTCAAAACCCCAAACAACCCTCCCAAAACATATTTAAAACACAGTCACAAGGTGTTACAGGGTAAAATAGTATCAGCTCAAAAATATCTGAAATTGAATGATCAAAAAGTGCACTTATTCACTTAAGTAGGAAAACTGTTTTGCCCATTATGGGTTAAATAAGTGAGAGCTGTTTACACCATTAGGCCTATGTGTTACAGCGATTTTGTCATCAGCAACTAAAATTGCTAAAGTTTAACTTATTTCAAAGTAAGAACATTAAACATTCAGGCCCCCACAAGGCGAAGTACCTTCATCCCAAATACGGTATAAGAGAAAATGTATGAAGTGATTAGGATTGGGAATATGTTTAAGATTGGTGCTTTTACATAACAAAAATGTAGTCATTTTATTTCATATTAAAATTTAATTTAAAAGTAATTTATTTTAAAATCTTATTTACATAAATATATATATATTATACACATTTACAGAAAATATTTACAAAAGATAATAATGGTTTAACCACCATTGCACTGGAGCAATTTAACATTTCTGCACACACATGCTAAAAGCTGAATTTTTGTATAGAAAATTACTTTAAACCCCCAAACAATTATATATTTACTGAAAACAGAGGCCTTGTAGAATAAAAACAATGATTGCTGCTATTGATGCACCTTTACTGGGTTTTCGGTATGAACAGTGCCTGCATCCAATCAGATTGTTCAGGTATTTTGAGAGCCAGCAGGGCCGACTGGCAAGATACTGAAGCTTGGCCCAGTGGGAGATTCCTCCATCCACGCAGTTTAGCGTAGATGGAGGAATCTGTTACAATTTTTCCATCTGACTATAGAAAAAAATCTATAGGTGTAGGGCCAGCTTTACAAACTTCCTCAACCTAGAACATAAAGGGCTTAAGATTTACCACATTTTAACCATAAGGTTACTCTTTAATTGTCTATGTCAGTGATATGTCACTTCATTGCAGCTTGCTCTCTAGAAGCTCAGTTTCAACTGTTATTTAGGCAGCAAAAAAGTGACTAGCAATAACCACCTCCCGGCCGGCCGTTGTACAAAAACAGCCGTCCGGGAGCTTCCTGGATGTGACAGGCCGTGTATATACGGCCTGTTAGCCCTGCCAAGCAGGAAACGACCAAAATTTTAAAACAGGCAGCTATGCCTGTTTACATACAAGCGATCCGCCGGCTATAGAGCTGGCGGATCGCTTGTATGTGGTGCTGATCGGGGGGCCCCCCCTCCGCAGCCCCCCTCCCGCTGGTCCCAGGCTCCGGTGTGCCCGGTGCGAGTCTGGGACCAGCATGGTGGCTCTCTGACGGGATTAGAGGGAGATCGGTACACGATCTCCCTCCGGTCCCCTCTCCGCTGTCAGAATGCGGAAGTGATGTACATTACATTACTTCCGCATTCCTGTGTCACTCTCCAGCTTGAGAAGGAGTTTAGTCCCCTATGTGTTAACAATAAAGTTAAGTGGAAAAAGAAATAGTCAAAAAAATTAAAGTCACATGAAAAATAATGTAAAAAACTAAAAAAATGTTAAAGTCCCTACCCATCCATACATGCGTGCAAACATGCGTCGGGTGCCTATATGTGTGAAAACGACGATTGCGCCCATTACGCCACACATGTTGCATATCGCCGCGAACGTCGCAATGAGAGCAATAATTCTAGGGTCATCAATCACTGATAACACTAAACTGATGAGAGGCAAAAGCTTTTAAAGTGTCGCCTATGGTCAATTTTGGGTATGGTTGTTTAACTTTTTTGGTAGTTAAACTTATTTTTTTTTCAACATTTTCAGTAATTTTTCCTTAATATAGTAAAAAATAAAAAACCCCAGTGGTGAATAAATACCACCAAAAGAAAGCTCTATATGTCCCAAAAAAATGGTATAAAATTAATTTCAGTATAGCGTTGCATTACAGAATAAATGTCAGTCAAAGTACTGCTGCGCTAAATACTGAAAAATGGCCTGGCCAGGAAGGGGGTCTAAACACCTGGTCAGCAAGTGGTTAATGAAAGTTGAATTTTAAGTTTGCTTCCTTTTTTATACAGAATCATGTGTTATTTGAAGCTAATTTGTTTGTGTGATATGAAGCACAATCCTGTGCTTAATGTGTTACCTGTGCTTTGTTGTCTGTTAGTTACCAGCAGTATATGTCAGAGCGGCTGTCAGAGGTGTAAGGGGAGCCATTCCACTCATTGCTGTCATGAGCAGTGTGCAGCTGGCTGTACTGGGCCCAAGAACTCCGACTGCTTGGTGAGATTACACATATCCTTCTCCTACTGTGTTTCACCTTTCATTTATATATCACACCATACCTTATTCATCAAGCTGTGAAATCAATTAGGGCAGGGCCAATATCATAGGATCATATGACTCAAGAGGTCGCTTGAACATGCCTTTGCAGCCTCTTGAACCAGACTCGTTGTTTCTAATATTTGATTTTTTTTCCCCATTTTCTCACTTTTCTGTACCATTCATAGAATGCTGAATGATGATGATGCAGTGATCCCCCTTGGTTATTGGATATATGCCTAGGGCAACAGGGTAGCATGAAAACATGTGTAATATTAACCTATTGTCTTCTATTTCTGTCTCTGGGTCTGCTTGGATAAATTTAGTGGCAGCTCAGAAGGTGGGGAGTTGCAGGTTCAGTTAAGAAGAGTACCAAGAAACCCTGCAGGTCTTAAAACAGGCATCCCTCTACTCTTTACCCGTAGGTTCATAAATGGTGAACTCTGCAGTTTACCAGTAGCTCTGCTGTCTCCAAGGATGCATTTTGGTTGTGATTTTTTCTAATATTAGTCCTATACTTTGGCTGGTAAGGGCATCTGAAGCCACTTTGCCCTAATTGGGGGGCCTCCCGGAGATTGGTGATTCCTATGATTAAGCCCATTGAGTAAAACATGTAAGGGAGTGAGGTTCTGGTGGGACCATGTACTGTCAATTACAATGAGGCTTTATATATGCTGGAAGATAGGATATGGCTGCACTCTTAGCATTCTTTGTTCAGAAACTGGCAATGCAAGGGTTTTTTGAAAAGTTTGGAAGGTTTTTTCTAAATTTTATATTCATCTATTCTATTTATTTTATATGTCTACTGTTAAAATTATTTTAAACATTTTACACAGGGATGTGTTTATGAAGATTGGGCAAATCCTTAATATATTCCTGGAGTGGATATGTTTGTATAATTGTGGCCATATGCTAGCAACATTTGCTAGGGGCAAATATTGCAGAGTATGAATGTCAGAAAGTGAATATGAAGGCATCACGTGAATCTACAGCAATTTTGAATTTGGGCAAAGAGCAACACAGAAAACTATTAGATTCACCTTTTAGTGTCTGTTAGTGGTAAAATCTCTGTGTGACTAATGTAATCATGGCGTTTGTTCCAGAATCCAGCATTTAACATGAAAAAAACCTAGTCCAAATATTGAGGAATCCTGTAACGGAACAAATGTGGCAGTAAATGATCTGTTAATTAATGTATGTAATGTATTTTGGGTAAATCTGACATTTCACATTTTTCTAAATAGAAACCATAGCAATGGATTAGTGTTATTAAATAATAAGCTCATTTTAAAATGAACATGTACTTTTTTTATATTTAGGGCTAAGTAGCATGTATGCACATACTACTTTTCTATACGCTTCTCCTGCCATCCTAGCCTCTGCTCTTTAAAGGCTGAATGCAGGGCCCACAATCCAGCACATGCACAGGGTAATGTAGAGTAACTGCCATAGACTTTATTGGTAGTACCAATCTGTACTTGGCGAATGCACTGTCATCAGACTCTGTGACAGCTCCCCGTTATTATGCAGCGCATGTACTATACTTTGTGCTTTGAATTCATTTAGAACTGAGTGCAGGTTGGAGAGCTTAAAATCAAATGATCTGCAAGAGTAAGGTATGGAGTTCTCTGGGATTTGCTTACTAAGAAATCAAAGTGATTCTGGGGCTCAACTGCTGTTTGGAAGTATTCCTTTTCTTTTTTTGTCCATTGAGGGACACAGGAATTCTGAAATGATTAAACAGTCGGGTTATACTGCTGCCTACAGGAGGTCAGAACAGGTTTGCAGTAGATTCTTACTCATCCTTCTGGTCCTGGTATTTTTGGACACCAATTTTGGTTATACTGTATCATTAACCCTGCCTACCCTTTAATGATGCTGTGGTTGATCTCCCTAATCTCTGCTTCAAGGGGAATTCAGGGTTAGCACTCCAACTTTTTAAGGGTCTTTCCCCTCAATTTAATGACATGTTAGGCCTTGAGGATTCTTACATCCATGCCTACCACTGATTGGTTGTCTAATCAGGTGACATCCTCCCTTATATGCACCTCCCATTGCCATTCCCCAAAGTCAGTGCTTGCCATGTCTGTCCACACTTCCTTTCCCTGGGGTTAAGTATTCTAAGGTTTTTCTCTGCAATTGACTTTTTGGTATTCCTATTGGACATTGTCTGTCTGTTCATACTTGACCTTCGGGTTCTGCGCTTTTCTGGGACTTGACCCAGCTAACATTTCGTCTTCTTGTCCACATTTGTGGTTGTTCTAGTTTTCTCCCATTCTTTAATGGATGGTTGGTCCCCCACTTCACTGGTTGAGGCCCATTGTTCCTTCAGGTAACAGTTTTCCATAAGTGGTGATTATCTGTCCTAGTCTGGAGCACGAGGTTGAACCTTTGTGCCCTCCCTTGGTCGTAGCAATTTCCATATTTGGTTTGGCCCTTTCTTCATCTGGCTTTGATTCAGGTGTTGATCTCTTCATATACTCTTTTGTAGACTTATCTCCACATCTGTTGGATCTTTCAGTGACTATTGCCCACCCCTCAAAGCTTTTGGACATCCCGACTGTTTGTAAATTCCTCAATTTCTGTGTCCCTTAAAATCTTTTTCATGAAGTCCACTGAGGGACACAGTTCCATTCCTTTGTGTTACTGGCTTATAGTATTGCTTGCACACAAAACTGAGACATGACGGTTGGACACTGGGTTAAATTGAGGCTGGCTTAACATTCATTGTTTGACAGTGTCCCAACCTCCTGTAGGGAGCAGTATAACACAACTGTTAAATAATTCCTGTGTCCCTCAATGGACAAAAATATTTTACCATAAGTGCAAAAAATTGTATTACACGTTAGCAACTGCAGTCAACAGTACACTACTGCAGCTTACTCCAATTACAAACCCAACATTCTGGTCTTCCTTTCAAGTGCCTAAAGTAGGAAGGGGTTAAATCCTTTGTCAGGTTGCATCAATGCAGAAAGTGAAGGGAAATGTTCCCAGGTAGACATTTTCATCTGAGATTTTTTTTGAGTTTACCAGTCACCAGAACTGGAAGTCAGGGGAAATCTTCCACCTTGAAGCAGTAAAACTTTGACAAATTCTAGACAACTGATAACTATAATGAAGCTAACACCAGGATAAGCAGGTTGATTATGTTTTTAATGTGGTTTTTGCTCATGGAGGCCAGGTAAAGCACATTTGAAACAGTCTGGCTTAAAGCGCATGTACCCTTTTAAGTAATCCTACACTGAGTGTAGTTTACCTAACTAATCCCCAGGCTTAGTAGCCGGCACCATAAGATGACGTCTCTGCATTAAGTGTGCTCTATAGTATCCCTAATCTGCTGCTAAAACTCCAGTAAAAAAAACCTGGCTTTTCTGCTTAGGGGGAACATGTGACAGTCCCTCTCTCACCTTCCATAACTCAGTGCCTCAGTCACCAGGCCCAATCATTGTCACATTGAAGTGCAAAAGAGTATGGTCAGCTCTTTGTAATTATTAGCCTTCAGAAAGTCAAAATATGCATAGTAATTTCAGTGGGGACTGAAAGCAGATTGGGGCTTTGGGGGAGTGTGCCAAAGCTGATCTGATCCTAGGCATGAGCATCACCTAAGTAAACCACTATTAAGCAAAAGCGTTGTCTAAAAAAATGAGTTTAGAATGGACAACCATTCAGACTGTGCTTACCTTATTACCTTGCAGAGAAACTTGTAAAATACAAATGCATATGCTTAATTTCTCTACAGGCTTGCCTTCATTTTAACAACAATGGCACTTGTGAACTGCTCTGTCCACCTCTAAATTGGTACAACACAGAGGCCTATGAAACTGTTGTAAGCAAAGATGGACGATACACCTTTGGAGCAAACTGCGTCATACGATGTCCTTGTAAGATGCACAACTTCCCTATTGTCCTAGATGTTATAGAAAACCTTATAACCTGTATTACATGCTGTGTTCTTCTCTGAAACCTAGATAACTACTTGGCCACGGAAGTCGGTTCCTGCACTCTTCTCTGCCCACAGGGTAATCAGGAAGTGATTGTAGGAGATGTACAGAAGTGTGAAAAGTGCACCAACCTGTGCAGCAAAGGTAATCAGAACCTTTACATTATTTCCATTGTATGTTCACAATGGAAAAATTAGAATTTCTTAATTCTGATTAACCCTTTTGATGCCAGAGCCATTTTAGCATTTTTTGCAAACGTTACAATGCACATTTTAGGCCTAAAAATTGATTAAAGCCCCCCAAATTATATATCTTCTCAAAGTAGAATAAAATTATGGCAGTTGCAATTGTTTGTTACACAATATTAGCGTAACAGTGGATCAAAATTTCTGTATAAAATGTATGCAAATTAATTTTAGTGCACACAAATACATTAAATGACCCAATTAGTTGGTAAAATATAAAAGATTAGGTTGTGCTGAGTAAATAGATACAAAACATGTTAAGTTTCAAAATTGCATGCGCCTGTAAATGGCAAAAACTTTGATACCCTAAATTGTCCATACGTGACGCTTAAAAGTAATTACTTTACAGGTCAGTAATTTAGAGTTAACCATGTATAATGGCTCCATAATTATTGCTCTCACTCTGCCGTGCGTGGTCATACCCAACATGTGTGGCACAAACTTTGTTTCCTTATGTGGATGCACCCGAAGCATGTGTTTCCATTCATGTGCATGTGGGGGCGGTGGGGCTTTAATGTTTTTTTAATTTTATTTTACTTTTATTTGTTTACGGGTTTTTTTTACAATTATCTTCATTGCTATCACAGAGGGGGCTGATAGCATACTGATGACAGGTCCTCTTTAACCCCCTGACGTTGTTCTTTTACTTGGCTGGACCCGTTCGATTTCTGGACTTCCGGGGGTGTGTAGGGGCTGTTAGCGCAAACTCACAGCAGCTGATTGGCTCAGCAAGTCCAGAAATCTCACAGGCTGCTGCACATGTGGATTCCAGAAATCTTACAACCGCATGTCTTGTCATATAATGTTAATAATTTGCATGACTGAATAAATGTCAGTCAAAGTACCGCATCGCTGAATACTTAAAAATTACCTGGACAGGAAGGGGGTTTTAACACCCCCAGTCATCAAGTGGTTAAGGACACATTAGTGGTCTATGAGAACCCTAATGTCACCTCTGGACCCTATTGAAGCTGATCAAGCACAGATCATGTGACAGCTCAGAACCCGGACGTGACAAAATCATTGTTTCTTCCGTGTTCATTCAACAGGGAAGATGTCAGCAAATGGTTGTCCCCTGGTCTCCCTCTCCTCTCTGCGATGACACCTGCCATGACTGTTCCGGGTGCCCAGGAAGGGCACCCAGATTGCCTGACCAGGGCCTCTTTTTTTTTTCCAAAGGCTGGTTTCCCCGTCCACCTTACCCAGAACATTGCTCTCCCATGTATATGTCCTGCTCCATGACAATCCAAGGAGATTTCCCTCCATTGCCATAGATGTGGTATCTATGTTTGTGGGTATCTCTTTGCTACAGCTTTTTTGGACAGACTGACACCCCTTTTTGTCATTCCTGAGGGCCCCCTTAGGGGATAACCTGCTTCTCCTTCCAGGTGGATTTGACAGATCATTGTTTAAGCTTATAGACCTCTCTTCCCAAAGCACATGCCACTATATCAGTCAATGTTTAATGGGCTTTTCAGCATCAGGCATACTGTATGTTTCTCAGATTTGCAAGGCTGCCACATGGTCTTCTGTTCACGTTTGTTACATTTTACCAGGTTCAGGCCTCCTCTGATACCAGCTTCTGTCCTACAGTTCTTTGGACAGCTATATTAGCTCTGTTATGTTACCCTGTTGTTCACTTGGATATTAGCGTGTGTTTGCTGTGTTACCCACCCCTTAGTTGGACTCCGTTTTCGGACATCCCTATGTACCTGAATTACATCCCGTGCCCCTCAATGTACGATTAAGAAAATAGATTTTTGACTTACCATAAAATCCCTTTCTTAGAGTACATGAAGGCTGTACTTATGACCCACTCCTACTGTTGTTTGCTACAAAACTGAGACATGATGGGAGTGGGAGGAGTTTTATTAGGCTGTCCTTACAGGTTTGTTTGGCAATGTCCAATGTGATGAAGGCAACAGCATAACCCTATGCACCTGAATTAAATGCTGTGTCCCTCAATGTAGTCCAAGAAAAGGAATTTACAAGATGTAAAAAAATTATATTTTCTTGCTGTGCAGTCTTTTTTGTTGAGTACTTAATATGACGTTTCCTCTTGACCCAGAATTAACAGAGATTTATGTTTTTTATCAGGGAAAAATTATACTACAAGTTGCTTACTTTCAGGTTATATAAAGCTGGGTTACTCATGCCCTAATGTAAACTTTAAAAAAATAATGATTAAATGTATACGGGTCTAGTGCTAGAAAAAAAACAAAATGTTCGCCTTCGATTGATAAACATTAACCATCTGGGTGCCTGTGGTCTACTGCATTTTTTTCGATACCTGCCACTACTCCTCTCACATAATAAAATATAGAAAGTGTTTATACAAAATTACCAAATATTTCCTTTAAAATAATTAAAAGAAAAAGTGGCTTGACATGACGTCAGGCCAAAGCAGTGTTTGTATGTTACCAAATGAGCTGGGAAATGGACATGATGTTCCCCAGCTTGTGATTACTCTGTTAGCAGGAGCTTGGTTGCTTATGACACTTACAAATTCCAATCTGGTTTTCTGAATGAAGGAAATTATTTTCTACAGAATAAAGTGAACACTGGCCAAATGCAATAAGGAGTTAGTAAAAAAACGAATTACCACTGACTTCTCTTGGGGGATTTCTCCAGCAGTGAGATCTCATAGCTAGTGTACCTTCTTCTGCCACTACAGCATGGACTCTCACCTTCTTTACTGCAGAAAGGGGTCTCAATTCTTCCACTGTATTCCCCAAAAATGAAATATAAAGCCAAGAGGTAGAGTGAGACCATCTCCTATTGGCTGGCCAGGAAGGAGGATCTAGGTAATCGGAAGCATGGGGAGTCTGCTTGAGTCTCCTAGAAAAATAAGAATCACTGAGCGTTTTTAAACCTTTGTCATATTCACAGAACTAAAATTTTAGATTTCAGTGGACTAATCTTTTGAGAGATTAATTAACTCTGTCTGCTCAGTTTGCTATGGTTTGGGAATGGACTTTCTGAAGACCACACGGGCTGTTAATTCCACCAACATCCAACATTTCCAAGGATGCACCAAAATCTTCGGCAACTTGGCGTTCCTTTCTGAATCCTTCAGAGCGTGAGTCTTTATTTTGAAATCTTGGAAAATGAATGTGATTCTTTTAGAATATTAAAATTAGAACATTCTTCTATATTTATCCAAAAATGGTGAAGATGAAAACGAGATACTCCAGTTGCTAAAGCATGTAATTGGGTATACTGAGGTGGTATGTAGAACCCACCCATAGAAGGCAGGGCAATAATAATACATTTTATTGTACATGATCAAGTTGTGATTAATCTCTGCTCTCTTGCCACTAATCCTCACTCTCAAATTTTAAGTTGTCAAATGCCAGGACTTCATTAAGCAGTAGAGACATTTAAAGGGTAAATTACATGGGGTGGGTTTAGTCTTCTGTGCCCACATAGTCATTCCTAAAATTATTTTTTTTTTAAATAAATTTAGGCTGTAGAAAGAATGCACCATCCTGAATTCGGCATCATTTAAAGCTGGCATCTGATTCTAAAACCTAAATACGGTCCTACAAATGACTCAAGGAAGACCCTGCTTGTGTGCAGATTTGGTGGTAGTTTTACTTTTTAGTGACTGGTGCAACTCATAAAATGATAAACATTCAGTTCTACTGAGAGCATCTGTTTACTAGAACATGAGTTTTAAAATTAAGGCAATGCATAGCAGTATTTCATATGATTTCTGTCCAGAAATAATGTACAATAAAATCACAATTTTTGTGCATAATTATTCTAACACAGCAATTTTCATACTAGTTGGTATGTTTTTCTTACATCGTTATGGATAGGGATGTTCAGATGCCAAGTACCGTACTCTGTACATGTACAGATACGTTTCCTGCTCCAAGACTAGACTACAGAAAAATTAAAAAGTCAAGAGGCAGCTGTCATTTTTAAGGAGCATTAGCCCGCAATATACTGAGCTTTGGGTCACGGGAGGACGTTAGTATATGTCCTCCCGTGACCCTAAAGAGATCTATGGGGGAAAAAAATTACTCCATAGTTCTCTTTTAAGGTACCATGAGACAACTTTTTCACTAGCAGTCCCTTTAAAGCTCCCTGTTCCCACATAAACTACCTATGCCAAGCAGAGCTAGTTTACTGTAAGGTAGCCCAAGTGGCCGCCTGAGGGCACCAGCAGGAGGGGGCGGAGAAATCCTGGCACAGGCTCTGCAAACAAACATAAATGTAGTGTGTGGACGAGTCTCTGCTGCAATTATCTCAGCTCCGCCCCCGCCCCCTGTGCTGACTTCGGAGCAGCTCATCCCACATTGTGGCAGTAGCTGTCACCCCTGCTATGTGCCTTCTCTGGAGCCTCACACAACCTCCTCCTGCCCACTATCTGCACTATAGGAGGAGCCGTTCTCACCTCTCTCCCCACACTGCCTCCTCGTCCCGAGCTGCAGCTACTAGTGTGTGTTTCTGTGTTTGTGTGTCTGTCTCTGTGAGCTTGTAAACCTCTTCAAGTCATATGTTTCTGTGTACTCTGCAATGTGTGAAGTGTTATATAGAATTGATAGATATACTGGGGGGGAATTTATCAAAACTGGAGCAAACAGAATCTGGAGCAGTTGTCCATGGCAACCAATCAGCATCTCTCTTCAGTTTGCTCAGGTAAGATTTGAAAATGAGAGAGAGAAGCTGAGATATTTCCATGCACTGCTGCTCCAAATTCTGACTGCTCCAGTTTTGATAAATTCCCCTTGCACTGTATTCTAGTTTCCATATTTCCAATGGGCACATATTCTCTAGTTAATGTTATTACTCACCCCCTTAAAAAAAAAAAAAAGGAGCCAATATGATAATTTGGGCATCATGATGCCACAGGATGTTCCAAACCCATTAAACCAGGTTCCAAGAAAATATGTTCTCAGCGTACACACCATCCAGTGTGTTCATCTGACAGTCCGATGGCATGAACACAATAAACCACTTCTTCCACGTTCTGTGGTGGGAGGGGTTGTGGATGTGCCGTTCATTTTCAGTGGCACCACAGGCACACCTCCCGCCCGCAGTGCGATTGCCTGCACTGGAACGCATGTTACCGCAATGCCCTGTATTCCAGGTAGGTATGATTGCATGCATTATTTTTTGCAATCGCACCACACTGGAATGCATGGTACTACGCGTCGCAGTGCAGGCGATCACACTGCGGGCAGAAGGCATGCTTGCAGTGTAATTGAAATGAATGACACCACCACGCCCCCTCCCACCCTAGAACGCCGGGAGGGTAAGATTAAGCGGTTCGGTGTGTTCATGCCATACCCAGATAGCAAGGATAACTTGCTACAAACTTGCGGCAGGGTGAAATTGTAATTTTTGTTAACTTGCTGCACATATTCCTGGCAAGTTGTAGACTTGCAGAACACTTGCAGCACAAGATCTAGTTGACACTTTTTGAATTTGTAGCAAATTTGCTTGGCAAGTTTACAGCAAGAGTCCTGCAGGTCTTAGCAAGAGCTATGCAAGCTCGCTGGTCTCGAGACTTGCAGTAATTGTGCAACAAAATTGTGAAGCTTGGCAAGTCTGCAATAGTTTAGCAAGTCATTTTCAAACTTGCAGCTCAATTGCTTGATATCTGGGTAGGACTGTGAGAAGAACGCACTGGATGGTGTGAATGGGCCCTCATTGAGGTGCCACAGCTTCTTCTGCAGATGGGAAGGTGAGTTGGGCTGCCCAGGGATGTTGCTGAGAGGGCCCAGGGGAAGCTCCTGCCAAGGGTAAATGCAGCCATATCCTGTGCGTGAGGGAAGGCAGCCAAGTATCCTCCTATAATAACTCCCATTGGAAATGCACACAGGACCGCTCATGTACCAACCGGGTGGTAGGGGGTAGAGCTCCGCATACTGCATGGGGCCGGCACCCACGTGTACCAGGCAATACCGCACTTTTCATTATCATCCACTGACACTCAGCAGCAGCTCTGCTAATCCTCTAAAGGAGATTCAGAGGGGAATGTGTACTTCAGCTGACTTTATTTAATTCATACATACAAAGGCAGGGGAAACATATAACCACTTTGTACCCCCTAATTAATTTTTATACCATGTACCCCTATTATACTATGTAACCATATTATACCCCATTATACCCTTCAAGGCCATCTTTAAAGCAGGGCAAAAGGCTGCAAAAGATACACACATGGTCGGCTCTAGTGGGCTAAGGCTGGCCCAGTGAACGTCATCTGCTGTCTATTGAGTGATCGGGGCTGCCGGGTCTGTCCGCAGAGGAGATGATAGGCCCCTTTGATTGCCTTTAGGGGGCCCTCCCTACCTATTGCCTGTGGTAAAGTTAGGTACCTCGGCTTATATTCGGGACGGCTTATACTCGAGTATATACGGTACCCATATCTGCCTTTCTATGCTCTGATCAGTTCGAGAATCCCATTTATTGGGAGGGCTAGTGCTAACCCTCCCATTGCTATCCAGCTGCCTCTTGTGCCCATCCAGTGCATTCACTATTACTGTCCGGGAGCACTTAGTGTCACCAGCTGGCTCTGCTACACTCAGTGTGACACTTTCCGCATCTTCTGCACCACATAACGTTTTTTTATTATTATTGCTCGTAGTTCAAAAAGATCACCACCACCATCAACGTGACCTCTTCTGATTCCTCCCCTCGATGTTACTCTGCCTGCTGCAACTCTACGGACAGAATCAAAAGGCAGAAACTTGAATGGCGGACACACGCACACATGACATGTATGACTGTGTGGAGCGCGAGTCCTGAAAAAGTAGATCAGACAAAGCTGTTTTTAGTCTTGCTGCAATCAGGGCCAGCACTAGTGCCACGCTGCATAATCAGCCACCTGAGTGCACTGAGGTGGGCGGGGGTGTGTGTGTGTGTAAAAATGCACATTTGCCTGTGTAGGCAAAAATCTTTGCACCGGCCCTGATGCCAAGTATGACTTTTCAAACGTCAGAGTATAATCCTATTTCACCTTTATCCTTTCTACTCCCATGTGGCAATGACCTGCAGGCTCGGGCACTAAGCATGGCTTTCTGGGATGAAACCATGCCTATGCTCCCATGCTATGTACCAGGAAATTTATATTAAAGGGCTTTGTAAAAGGTATGACATGATACCTTATTGTGCCTCTTCTCCTCAAAAAAGTGTTTAGAAATGTTTTCTATTCTAGGTTTATAGCATTGTTCTTTTTAAACAATTTTGCAGAGATCCAACACAGAACATAACACCACTTACTCCGGAGGATTTGGAAGTATTCCAGACTCTTGAGGAAATCACAGGTACCTAATATGGATACATAGACATACATTATATTTCTTTATCCTCACAGAAGGGACACGTGAATGTAGCCATTTTTAGACATTTGGATAATACAGCCACTTACAGAAGGTTGGAACACTGGCAAATAAAAACTTTAAGCCAGCCCATGTATAACCCTGCCTTAACCAATGATGCTTCAATGTTTTGCCAGAGTCTTAGGAGGTTGGATACCTTTTCATAAGCCCTGCTGAAAAGATTTAGAAATGTTTTTCTTCTGTGACCTCAATCAAAACACTGCTTTAGATAGTCTCAGCTATTGGTATCAGTCTTCACAAATGGCTTTGGAGGCTGGACCAGAAGATTACAGGGCTAGCCTGAAATGTAACCTTTGGGAACTGGACTGGGCTCTGCATTGTCCTTTGTGACCTTAAGGACAATGCAGAGCCCTTAAGGTGTTAATGCAGAGACCTTAAAGTGGACCTTTACCCCCTTTCACTTAAAATCACATCAGCATGCAGCTCTGCGTGCTGATTTAAAATCATCTTACATTCACTAGTTAAACATATTTTAAATTTACTTACAAATAGAGTTTATCACTTCCCGGTCCAGTTTTGGCACAAATTATGTCATGTGCCCAAGCATTTCATCCTGGGAAGGTTATATCAGCAGAGCATTGCTCGGAAATCTCATCTGTAATCTCAGGAGATCTCAGGGAAAGGCATTTTCCTCCCCTGTGATTATGTGCATGGTCACATGTCCTAGTCACATGTGCCAGAGTTCCAGGAAGAAAAGGAAGATCTAGTAATCTGCCCTTAGCAAAAATGGACACTGTCCGAAGACTGGGAAAGAAAAGAGAAACAAGCAAAGAATAGAAAACCTGCAATTATCTAGAAGTATGTGTTTGTAGATTGCCATTATTAAACATTTCTAAAGGTGTGTTTGTTATTTTAAAGATATGAGTAAAATTCCTCTTTAACTGTGTTAGTTAGCCGCAGAGGGCTGTCCAGGCCCAGAGTCATGGCTCAGCCTCTGGTGTGACCTAGTCTCTGAGGCTCTAAATGCCATACACAGCAAAATTTAATTCTGACCCTACAGAACCTCCACCTCTAAGTGTGCCTGAGGCCCCATTTAGTACCTCTGATTCCAATTCAGAGTCCTCACAGTCTATTCCTGAAGACCATATGACCATATGATTTTTTTTAATTCCTTTTTTTTTACTATTACAACTTTTTTAATTTTCATGTATTTTGTTTGGCATCTTTTTCAGTGTCATATTATCAAAAAATTGCAACCTCGAATAAAAGATGCCCTTTATTTCCTTTGCCATGCATTGTACCAAAAGTGTAATTTGGGTGTCATAAATGGGATACATTATAAAATTGTGTACCTTTTATCGACAGTAAAACTACCTATCTAAAAACTTACACTGGTTAAAAAAGAAAATATGCTTTTGTTACATGTTTTTGTCTGTAGATTGCATAGAAAATAAATACACAAAGACAATATTGCCGAATTTGTCCCCAAACATTATGTATGTATTAAGTTATCACTAAATCAGTGGAATTGGAAAAATCTCTGTTCCATATAAGGCATATACGTGAGAGGAGCTGCACTGGCTAAAGCCCAACTCAAACTAAAACTTTTTATTCATGGGAAACTTTTCCCATAAACAAAAAGGTTAGCAAATCTTTTTATCCGAGGCAGAGCCAAAAATATGTATTTAGTGGTGAAGGGCTGTCCAGGTGATGATCATTTCTTATACAGGAGTCACAGGGACTGAAGTGAGGAAACATGTCCCGGGTGATGTGCCACAGCTGTATTTCAGTTATTATAGAAGCCACATGTGTGAACTCTTTCTCTCTCTCTCTCTCTCTCTCTCTCTCTCTCTCTCTCTCTCTCTCTCTTTATTAGGATATATATACATTGACTCATGGCCTGAAGAGATGTCTAATCTCAGTGTATTTGAGAATTTGCGTGTAATCCGTGGACGGCTCCTTCATAAGTGAGTACACATTCCTGTAATTCTGAGAAGTCCTGTCATTTAATATAGAGACTTCAGCCAGGTAATGTTGCTTAGACCCATTAAAATAAATAAAAGGTAAAGCTATTATAGTTATTATCTTTTCATATAGTTGCTAATACAGAAAATGTTACCAGAGATAAATATTGAGGCTGCCTTTGCTGACTTTTTATTCAGCAAATTTGGTATTAGTATATGGAGTATCTGTTTTTTTATTTGTAGTGGGGCATATTCCCTGGTTGTCCGAAATCTTTCCATCTCATCTCTTGGCTTGCGGTCTTTGAAGGAGGTCAGCAGTGGATTGGTGCTCTTAGAGGCAAACGCTAATCTTTGCTATCTGGACAGTGTGCAATGGACAAAAATATTCAAGAATCCTAGACAGGGTATACTGAAGACAACTAATAAACCACAGAATGAGTGTGGTAAGTTAACACTGTATAAAGTAGTAGTTCTCTTTAGACATTGTGGTCCTTTATTGGATTTGCCAAACCAACTTTTTCTGTATTTTATAGAAAAAGAGGGGCACGTGTGCTTCCAGCTGTGTGCTAATGCCGAGTGCTGGGGCTTTGGACCATCTCAGTGTGTCCAGTGTAGTGGCCTGCTTCGTGGGAAGAACTGTGTGGAATCCTGCAATGTTGAGGAGGGGTGAGTGTTTTGTACTGTGCTCAATGCAAATGCTAAGAGTGCACTTTAGAACTATGGTATAGTTGTTGTCAAGGCGAAAGTACAGTGGTATTTTGAGTTATTATTGCAAAATGTACCTTAAATTAAACTATTGTTCCAATAAGGTACAATAATTAATACACATGTCAATGTTTTAGCTGAAAACAAAACAAAAAAATCTAAAAACCCCACTAAGCAATAACATTTGCATTTCTTGCCCATTAAGGGAAGATTTTAACCTTTGGGATATACTGCAGCTTATAGGCGGATTGAACACTGGTTAAAAAAAAAAATTGTAGACCAGCCCAACATAACTCCTCCCTCTATCAGCATGCCTCATTTTTTGCTAAGATGCTAGAAGAATGGATGTGTCTTCTTCAGCTCTGCTGTGTAAAAAATGAATTTATTCATTTTTTGCTAGCACCTTGATTCTCTACATTGCTACTGCAGCTTTGTCTCTTCGAAATCAGCTCCCCAGGGCAGTGGTCCTTAGCCTTGATTTTGGAGCACCGGGTCTGTTGAATCAGTTTTTATTAGTATTTTTTAACAGTTCCTTAACAATCAGTATCAAAACTCAAGAAGGGTATGTAAGCTGCAGAGAATTTTGCAGGTGCAGGGCCTGCCTTGACCTTTCCCTGAAGAATCAGTTAGTGTATAGGCCAGTAGGGCCAAGCTGACGGTGCTGAAGTCTGCAGCCTGGAATCATGCTATCCTCTGCTCTTAGACTCTGTTCTGTCCTCAGAGTCCTCTTTAACTTCATTGGGCCCTCTTGGCAAAGGTTTGCACCATGATTAGGCAAAACTTTATGACCCAAACAACTTCTTTGTGCCTTCTCCAGCAGATTCTTTATCTGATTTACCCACAGCCATATCAGTTTCCCAGGCATTAAACACAGATGCTCTTCTTCTGATTAACTCTTAGGCCTGGTTCACACCTGGGCGTAAGAAGTACAGGAGCTTCTTTGGGGCGTATTTGCCGCACGTATCCATTGGGATACAGCCAGGTAGCCCTCGGAAACGCGCGTTTGTCGTGCGTTTTTTTACCGTGAATCGCGGTAAAACGCGCGTCAACGCGCATTTTCGATACGCCTAGGTATGAACCCAGCCTAATTGTTAACTGATGAGCTTAACCCTGAGGAGTCGCTGTCTACCCAGTTAAAGGAGACAATTTTGCCTCTTTTTGATGCAATGCACACCACTTTGAAACTAAAGGATCAGCCTGTTGCTTCTACCAGTGCTGTTTCCAGTCTTGGGGTGTTTAAAACTCCTGAGGCTGCAAAGACACCCCCCTCTTTTCCAACTATCTCTCTGTGGAAATTGGAAACACCCTAATAAGCTTTATTACCCTTGTATCCATTTGGTGAGGACTTTGTGCAGCAGTGGTCTGTTCCCGCTGTGGATCCAGTAGTGGCCCACTTTAACAGGGTGCTTACTGTTCCTGTACACCCAACTGATAAGTAATTGAAAAACCCTTTCTAGAGCTCCATTGTCGCTGGCAGGTTATACCTTCATCTGATCCTACCTGTGATCTTACTTCATTAAACCATGTCTGGAGGATCAACCGCTGCCCAGGTTGATCCTTCACTGATAGATGCGGGAAGCATATGGCTGTAGTGTTAAATTTCAGCTGTGACAGTTTGATTAAAAAACTCCTAGTCTCCTCTCTCGCATGTGTCTCATGTCACTACATATGTGTAGGTTACTTTAGTTAAAGTGCTGGTCTGCAGAACCCATGTGTAAAAAACATGTGAAACGCATCCACTAATAAGCTTTCTTTTGCATGAAGACATGCCACCATTTTCCAAAGTGGGGGGACGTTTGTTAACGTTTGTGGACACTTGGATAACATGTATCTAACAGGTCTATTCACAAAAGGGTGAAGAGTTTTGAGAAGGCAGGAGAAGTGAACAATCAAGGCCAAGTCTGTAAAAAATAAGTCAAGGCAACTGGACTTGCTGTATAAAAAAATACAGCAAGTCCAGTTGCCTTTGTGACGGACTGAACCGTCACTGGGGCTGCTGGAGGAGCCTGAGGGCTAGCCTCCTTCCTACTGACTACGGACCTAGAGCTGCAGAGATTTATTACCCCAGAGAACTTTGTTTGCTGTGTGTTTTTATTTTTTTTTGCTGTTTAATATTTTATCTAGAGAGAGAGCTTTTCACTATTTGACTTGATTTGAACCATCCGCACTTCCATCTTGTTTGGATACCATCTCTGCTAAACATAATTTTGTGAAGGCAGCAGGCTGCCTGGAGTGGCCATTGTTTGGGATGATGTGATCAAGCTTTCATCTAATTAAGGACATTCATTAGGTTCAAAGAGTGTCTGTGCTTAAGTAATTCCAATGCAGCACCCGGCTGTCTAGGTCTAGGCGAGGGGATTGGTCAATGTAACACACTGAACTCTTATCTGATTCTGTGAGGTATAAACTCTGTGTGCTTTCTTCAATAAACTAGTTCATGTTTCCACTCCAAAGTCAGTATTGTCTGATTCTTGGGTAAGCCCATGCTATATTCACTTGCTTCTGGTTCCCACACCCAGGGAACAGCCTTAAGACGGAGATATCCAGTCGGGGGATCAGGGAGTCCGTCACAGCCTGACTTATTTTTTACAGATAGACCATGACCTGGATGAATGAGAACCTTCACAGACAATCTAGGAAAAAATAATTGATTTGGAAAAATTCTGCAATTCAGCTCACTTTCCAGTTCAGCTATGTCATCCTAGATTGTTCACTTCTCCTGCCTCCTCAAAACTCTTCACCCTTTTGTGAATAACATGCATGAGGTGGTATCCCAGGGCTAAAAATAGTAGTGCTGTGTAAATTGTTGGCACTATATAAATACCTGTAACAAATAAATAAATAATGTCTAGTGGGGCCTTTCCCTGAGCACGCTCTCTTGAAGAGCGTCCCCACGGTGGTGATGTGCATTAATCATCAGGGAGGAAAAACAAGAGAGGTAGATCAGATCCTGTCCTGGGCAGAACTACATGTTCCAGCTTTGTCAGCCATGTACATTCCATGTGTGGACAATTGCCAGGCAGACTTCCTCAGCTCATAGTGTCTGGACCCAGGGGAGTATTTCCTATACCTGGAAGTGTTCTAGGACCTGTATTGCAGGTGTAGGAAGCCAAATGTAAACCCCATGGCCTCAAGGTTCAACAACAAATTGAACAGGTGTTCAGAAAGATGATGACTGTAAGTGTTTGGACAAACATTTTAAGGAAAGGCTTTGCTGGACAATGTGTATTTGTTTGATCTGGATCTAGATTTATTGAAACAAGTTTTAGAGTTTAATACTACTTTAAACATGGCCCTATACAGCACCTCCTGTCCTGAAGGGCACACTTTAACAGGAAGAGTAGAGAGTTTTGGGAGATTTGTTTTAAATGAGATAATCCCCACCTCACCAAGAGAGGAATATCACACGAGATACCTTTTAAAATAATATATCCTATGACGTGTTTATAGGGTCCTGACAAGACCTGAATTGATGTTCAATAATATATACTTTTTCTTTGTACCGTTACGAAAACTCAATAAAAACCTATTGAAATTAAAATAATATATCTACCCTTGGGATCCACGTAGGACCAGAAAGGGTAAATGTTTGTAAATGAGTACTGGCTATATTGATAACATGGATTGTGAAGATGCTTGGAAGCTAGTAGCATATGTTTGGTATTAAAGGTGGCACTGCTTAAGGCTAGGTTCACACCCAGGCGATAGTGTTTTTGCACGTTTCTACATGCATTTTTGATGCACATTTTACATGTTTTTTTGCATGTTTTTATGCACATAAATCAGATTGCGCGTTTTTTTGAGCAGATTGTAGCTCATTGATGTTAATGAGCAAACGCGCATAAAATGTGTGCAAAAACACAGCAAACACGCGTTTTCAAGCATTTCCTATTAACTCTATGGGGCCAAAACGAACTGTAATCTGCCAAAAAAAAAAAAGCCCGTACTTTTTCCAGCAACAGGCGTTTTGCTTACTGCCACAAATTGTTAAGATGTGAACAGGGCCATAGAAATGCATGGGATTTTTTGGGGGTGCATATTTTTGAGATGTTTTATAGGACAGAAAAAGCAATACAAAACGCTCAATGTGAACCACACCTAAGAATTAGGAAACAACTGTGAGTAATCTAGAACACCAAAGAAAAGTGACAAAAGAGATACGCCCTCCATATTGTACACTGTACATGGCTGGGGCGGTGGAGTGTTGGGGGGGGGGGCGGATGATTAGAATCGGGAGGAACAAAGTAGAAAAAAGGGAACAAATAAAGAAATGTAGCAAAGAAATGGGGATATAGATATTATTGTGCAGACAGAGAAATCGGACAACTGGGTCCATTAAAGCAGAACAAATCTTTTAGAAATAAAAATAAATAAATCACAGGCATACAAAAAAAACAATACTCACCTCCTCACTGCACACACTCCACTCCATACTTCACCAAGTATTGGAGCTATTCTCTCAAGCCATATTAAAATGTTGTGTTTTGATCAACATTTGTACAGGAATTTTGGGACATATGAAAACAATTATGCTTGCCCTGTAGTACCGTAGATTATAAGAGGATGAGATTTAAATCATGAAGGGACTGAAATTAACCTTTAAAACAAAAAACACTTCACGGAAAAAAAAAATGTCAATGGAAGCCTCTTTGGAGGAGCTCTGTAATAAATATTAAGTATTTTTTTCAGGGAGCCAAGGGAAGTTGTTGATGTAGTCCAGTGCATACCATGTCATCCAGAGTGCATGCCGCAGAATGGATCTCAGACATGCTTTGGTCCGGTCAGTGCACAGTGTTCTGTATATACTAAAGATTTTCTGTATTGCATTTTTGGAAATGTTCTCATCCAATTGTGTATTTCTTCCAGAATGCAGAACAGTGTGTGGCCTGTGCTCACTACAGAGATGGCACCACATGTGTGAATTCTTGTCCAAGTGGAAAGAAGATGGACTCCTTTGTGCCCATTTGGAAATATGCAGACAAGGATGGAGAGTGTCAGCTGTGCCCTGTTAACTGCTCCCATTCGTAAGTGTCACAGATTTCTGCTGCTTTATACACATGACAGGAAAGCAGTGATTATAAATAATTTCACTGATAAAATAATTTTTTTTTATCTGGAAATTTTGTCCCAGAAAACTGATTGTCACACTAACATTGTTTTTTAGGGATAATTGGTTCCTACAGCACTTCATTCTGATTAATGATTTGTACTGTATGTTCTATACCTGCACTCTTTACAATGTGTTGCATACATAATACTCCCCATGTCTTTACTGTATACACTTTGCTGTTCGTTTTATACTTCACAGTGCTCCACTTGGTACACTGTGCTGTACATCATTTTGTTCACACCACTCTACTCTGTACATGACTGTATATAATATACTTCACTCTACTCTATTCTGTGCTGTACATGCTATACTCCCCATTTACGTAGTCTATGTACTGTGCTTTATAATATTTATTTCACATCGCTCCACTCTATACACTGTGCTGTTCATTGTATTATATTTCTTCAATGTGTACACTATGCTGTACAATATATACGCCACGCTGCTCAATTCTGTATACTGTTTTTTACCTTATATACTCCAAACATTTCCATACTGTAGGCTATGCTAGACAATCTGCTTCAATTTGTGCACTGTGTTGTTGTGCGCTCTGTACAATATGCTGCACAATCTATGCTTTACACTCTGCACCTCTTCTACTATACTGTATATATATCATATGTACTCTACTACTGCCTGCTGTCCCTCTTCAGTATAACCAGATAGCAGATTGCATTCATTGTCAAAGACATTTCTGTGCCCATAGCGAACCTATTAAGGGAGATAAATATGGGAGCTGTTGTTCACTTGCTCATAAAATTTGCAAGTCATCTTAATCTTGCATTCACTACATAATGAAGATGCATAAGATAATATTGAGTTTCTTACACAAATGGATTTACTTATTACTAGATATTCTTGATATTTTCGATGCGTAAAGTTCTCAGTGGAGTCCTCCAGTGGAACTCCAGCTTATTTTTTGGGGGATAGAATGGGGAAGAGCCACTGTCAGGTTTTCATTGTTTTCTATATCCCCTTGGAAATATTGCAATAACTTCATGAGGAAGGATTCCTATAAGCTTACTTTGCTTATTTTTGTCACCCAGGTGTGATAAACAAGATGAGAGAGGATGCCCTATCATTGTGAACAACAGGTGAGTGGTATCATTGTGGTATTGGAAACATGTGGTTTGTTACAGAGGTCTGCAGTTTTGTCACTCACCCATCTCTTTCTTCCTTCCTCAGTCATATTTACATGATAGTGGCAGTGGTCGGCAGCATATTCCTCCTCATGACAGGTGCAGTTGTTGTTGTACTGTTTGTCAAGCGCAGAAAGCATCTGAAAAAGAAGCACACCATGCGGCGCTTTGTTGATAACGAGGTAAACGGCATTATAGCAATCAACACCTTTTATTTATTTTTTGGGCATGTCCTATTCACATCCCTTTTTAAATCTTTCATGAGCACCTCCATGCTGGGTATAGCTTATAAACAAGGCTTACCGTTTACTGGTTACGCTACATCTCCATCCTAAACTATTGAGTGTAAGCTATTGGCAATATGTAATATTTCTTCAAAGAAATACTGAACTTACCTTATCCAATCAGCTGATGAGTTTGGCAGTCTGATAACATCTTGGCCCTGCTTGTTCAATTCAGTTGATGCCAGTTTATGTGGTTTAGGCATCTTGTACTGATTTGATCCCCAATCTTAGCTAATATACTCTAGGAAAACCAAAAGAAGCTTGAACAGGTATGCTTTCCCAATCAACATCCTAGTGAAAGTGTTTTGTATTATAAGTGAGGACATATGATCTATCTAAAGTAGAGTTTAACTTTTTTAAACGAATTCCTGACATGGCTTTCACATTTTTACAGAGTTGCTCTCTTTTTTTTTTTTTTTATTACAGTAACCAAAGAGATTTGTAGATTAACCACTAGAGTGAGTTCTCAGTAACTCAGTGCAACCACTTTATGTCTTGCATTTAACAACTGTTAAGACAACACAGACAGCTACTAGAGTGTGCTCTGTATCTGTCTCAGCCCCATTTAATCTCCCTGCCTAACGACTACTGAAATAGGATGTCAACAATTTAAGCAATGCATGGTTCTCAGTGAGTCTTCTGACTTAAAGGGGTTGATTTACTAACCTTATAAACACGCCACGAACAAGTATACACCTCTGTAGTGTGTTCCCTCCCAGCATGATCTATTGGTGGAATCTAGACACCTTTGTAGTGTGTACACACCCAGCAGGTGTGTTGTGCAAAGCCCTGCATGAATTGTAAGGTGATGTTGTGTAAATTAGCTCTACATTGTGTTGCTTGCCTTGATGAATGCAGGAATGTAAATGCATGAGCTAACCATTTTTGTCTAAACTGTGAAGCAGCATTATATATGCATCATGTGCATGATTTTTCCATATATGGTATTAGTGGAAATATGCTTTTAGAGACTTGTTGGTTGATAAATACGCTTTGCTGTGTAAAAATCACACGCACCTAGTGCGTGCGTGTGTTTAG